CTGCTGAAGTATCTAACAGCATGGGGTTTTCACTGAGAAGTTAGGAAGCCAGAGGAATACCTAACTTAGTTGACTTTGCCAGCTAGCTAGTCTTTTATGGCAACAATTAAAAGATACAAGTTCTTCTAGAGGGTAAGAGCTATGAAAGCATTATAGAAATGACCATCAGGAAACAATTCTGTACCTCAGTGTGGATTTCTATGGCATGTGGTACATAAGGCACAATGGAAACATACTGGCAGATGAAAAAAGGATTTAATAACTGCTCATTTAATTAGCATATTGCATGAAGCAATATATCTGAAAACTGCATGCCATAAAACCATGTGCGTGATGACTGAATTATAAAGCATTTGCAAAATGGGAGACAAACTGCTGTTGCATAGATTGCCTTTCCCACTAATATTTGAATGTCTGATTTTGCAACCTATGCAACCTGATTTTTAATGCAACTGCACTTGCAAAAAGATGAATGGCATTTTCAAAAATCAGCTCCTATGTTGAATGTAACTGTGATCCTGGAGACACTCCAAATGGGACATACTAGATCAATGCTCAGTTTTGGAAGGGTTACCAAGTTTTACACTAAATAGCCTTGCATGTTTGTTTCCGTCCATACTTACAATTATCTCACCAGATACTCTGAGCTAGTCTGCAACCAAGTCCCAAGGGCAGATCAGCGGCTGGTGTAAATCAGCATAATACCTTTGAGTTCCAAGGAGCAAAACCACTGCAAGGGATGCAAACCGGGTTGTGCATTTTCAAAACTCATTGAAGTTGCCAAATGAGAACTCTTTCAGATGAATTCAGATAACTTGTCTTGCCTGGTGAGGCAAATCCAAATTACGTACGACATAAATGTAACATGGGCCACAGAAAGCTATTTTGAGAGTACCTTGACAAGCAGAAACCTTCCTTGCCATGCCCAATCACAGAGCAGTGGCTACATCCCCAACAGGTTCTTTGCCCTTTTGGAGAGTAGGACTGTTGAGCTGCAACTTGACTTTCAACCTGTGTTCCTCAAAACTTCTGGATAAATTACATAGGATGGTCTGCAAAGCCAAGCACGCTCAACATAAATATTTATAACCTATGTGATCATTTGAACTTCTTCAAACTGACTGCATAAACATTTCTGGGTTAGTAAAATGTATTGCATTCAGTGGCAAGGAAGAACAAAGCCTACAATAAGCCTTATATTAGAAAGTGGCATTTTGTTTCATCTCAATAATGTTACTTCAGGTCTTAGAAATGTCCTACTTTACAAACTTCAACATTATGTATTTTCTCAAGAGAGACATTGCTATTAAATACTATCAGCTAACATGTGCCAACAGGCACTGGCTAAGTACTTCACCATTATTTCTGAATGAGCTGGGTAAATAGTTTTTTTGATTTATAGCAAAGTGAAGGGTATTGTTGGGAGTTTTGTACTTGAATTCTTTTCAAATAAATAATTTCTTTGTAGTGTTGAAGTGTGATATTTTAATTTCACTGCCAAAAACACTACTCCCTGAGATGAATCTTCTGTGCAGTAATGGTGCCCATGCTTCTTACCTGTTTGAGGAAAAAACACAGGACATATCCTCATATAGTAGGGAATATCCTCTGTTGTCAGGAACAGCTCAATCATCTACAACAGATCAACTCCTAGAGATGCTGAGGATTTGGCTCTTGGTTTTGATCTTTTTAGTGTGTGTTTGTTGTTTTTTTTTGGTTTTGTTTTTTTTGTTGGTTCAGTGGTTGTTTGGTTTTTTGGTTGGTTGTTTTTTTTTAAGTAATGAGTATCTAGAGCTGCTTATGGAAAAGGGGAATGCTGGGCAACTGTAAACATCCTCACTCTCAGTTATCCCTGCAAGATCAACTAATGTCCTAAAGACTCATTTCCACTTTCTCTGGGCTCTCTCTCCCGCTAATGCCACACTAATAATCTCTACGCTAGCTTTCTCTTCTTCTGTAAGTACCTTTAGATTTATTGATGTTTCTTCCAAGGCAACCTGTACACCAAGCTCTCTCTCCCAGTTCATTTGAGACTTTGCTTAAAAATCTCTACGTGGCACATCTCTTAATTTAAGCAGTGAATTGGACTGGAGCTCACAAGTCACCTGAATGCTTTGCAGAGACTACCATTAGTCTTTTCAACGTCAAACAAACTGGTCTGATAAATGCTTTACAGAAGGAATAACATCTTCCTGGACATTGGTGATGCAAATAGTCCCACATCTGGCTGGTACTTTCTCCACAGTGAAAATGCAACTATTTGCACACAACCGCCCTATACTACTGCAGGAACACTGTTGAGCCTCTAGAGAGCTCGAACACTAGAAAATATTAAAGATCTCAGTTCATCCTCCAGAAGGTCCACACCATTATCTCTATCTCTCCTGTGCCACATCTCCTGTGACTTCTCTGTCCTCCAGTCTTACCAGATCACAAGTCA